CCCTGGCGGGCGGCAGATGTTGGGCAGGCTCGGAGAAGGGAGCTTGGGGCAAGCTTCTGCTGCCCCGTACGCCCGCGGGCCTTCCCGTTTCTGTCCTGGTCAGGCTGGGTCCCGCACCCCATTTGCTCCGTTGCCGCCGTCCGTGGCACTCCTGAAAGTACTCGCGGTCCTCATCCTCCCAGAGGCCCTCTCGAGAGGGCATCAGAGGGTGCATCTGTGGTTGCAGAGCTAAATCCTGCTTTCCTAAAATTCTTAAATAGTTTTTGCCACGGATGACACCCCAACCTCGTTTTTAACGTTTGCCCTTGATTCAGGAGTCAGAGCTGCAAATCTGGGAGCACAAGGCCTTCAGACAACCCCAGCCTGTCCTTCATCTTTATTCCTGTGGAAAGCGTTGGTTTTCCCAGTTCTCCACGAGCCGTGGGTTAGTTGCTATGCCTGGAAAGCTTTTTAGGAAAAGAAAGGTGTGTTTAGATGCAGCCTTTTCAGAAGCATGTGTATCGTGGTGTTAAGGTCTGGCGATGGCCACAGCTGGGAACTGAAAGTTGGCTTCAGTCCTGCGAACGAGTGGTCTCTAGTGGTAACAGCAGACCTGTGAGAATTGAGAGCCTGTCTTCCATCAGTAAGGGTTTGATGTGTGTTCGTGATCATTGACTTACACATTCTCCTTGTTGTTACCTGTGTTCTCAACTTGCATTGTACTGCTCTTGTATTCTCTGTTCAAGTTTCTTATTTTTTTTTAAGGATGTAGCCATTTCTCTGTAATATGGAAATACTCTGAGGTATGAGCTGGAGTCGCTAAGGAATTAGAGACTTGTCACTAAAATATAATGGCAAATAGAATTTATCAAATTACTATCACCTAATTTTTATGTCATAAGTTTTATAAGTGTGTCATGGTTTAACCCAGCCAGCAGTTAAAACAACCACACAGCCGTTTTCCCCCAGAGTGGGATGGGGGAAGAGAATTGAAAAGAAAAAGGTAGCGCTCATGGGTTGAGATAAAGACAGCTTAATAGGACAGAAAAGGAAGAGAATAATGATAAAAGAGTATAGAAAACAAGTGATTAACACACATTGCTCACCACCCAGAGCCTGATGCTCAGCTTGTTGCTCAGCTTCCCTGCCTCCCAGCCAACCCCCAGTTATATACGGAGCATGAAGTCATATGGTATGGAATATCCCTTTGGCCAGTTTGGGTCAGCTGTCCTGGCCGTGTCCCCTCCCAGGTTCTTGGGTGCCCCCTGCCTTCTTGTTGGCAGGGCAGTATGAGAAGCTGAAAAGTCCTTGACTGCATGGCAACAACTAAAAACATCAGTGTCTTATCAACATTATTCTTATCCTGAATCCAAAACACAGCACTATACCAGCTGTTAGGAAGAAAATTATCTCTATCCCTGCCAAACCAGGACAAAGTATTACATAAATAATTATTCCCACTTACAGTATTTTATTTGGTCTTGGTTGATGCTACAAAAATTAAAAGAAGGCATTATGGGCTATTTTAAACAGATTAAAAAATGACTGTTCAGTAGTTTTAAAAAAATAATTTTAAATATAGAATCATCATTTACATGGATTTTTTTTTACCTGTCAGGATCCCCTAGAGTTTGTGTTGTCAATGAAATATTTAATAATTTAAAAATAAATACAAATATAGGTGATACAGTAAAAATATGTGAGGGAAAAATCTGTAATAACCAACCTAGATGCGAAGAGAGATGTTTTTCTAGAATATAGTGACTCTAAAAAAAAATAAACTGAAGATACTGTGATGGAGTGATTCTAAAAATAAGAAAGTCAGTTGATTCTTTATTCCTGTCTTTTGGTATGGTAGCCCCCAGCTCATATAGTCATGGGCAGAAATTAAGTGAATTTCTTATGACTACTGCTGAACAGGCAAAAACTGCCAGTATCTAGCTTTGATTTGGTATTGGGTTCAAGTAAGTAGGCTGTTCTTCCACATTTCACCTTTCAAGAAGGGACTGATTGGCAGAATTTCAGAATAGTTTGTGTGCAAAGGAACCTTTGGAGATCGTCTAGTCAAACCCCCTGCTCAAAGCAGGGTCACTTAGACTGGATTGCTCAGGACCTTGTCTAGTCAGGTCTTCAGTATCTCCAAGGATGGAGATTGCACAGCCTGCTTTTAACAATACGTACAAGGAGAATTTCAGTGGGTTGTTTGCAGTTCCCTATTCTTACCTTAATTTTCCCTGTAGAAATATGTCAGGCTTGCTGCTCTTCCCTTTTCCTTCACTCTACACAGTGTCAGTGGGCATTCCTCTTCTTTGCACTTGCTTGGCTGTAAAAAAACCAAACCCAGTGCATTTATTAATGCAGGCCCAACACTGATTCATGTAATGAAGGCTTTGCTAAATTAATCCATTATTCATTATGGAAAGTTACTGCTTTTTCTCCTGTTTAAACATGGTATCTCTATTTGTATGACTCAAACTGAGAAAACTACTTTCAAATTTATTGTGTGGGTCCAATTGTTACTGTTTTTCTCATGTATCAGATGATACAGGAAATCGACTTCGGTTCCAGCTGGAGTTAGAGTTTGTTCAATGTCTGGCAAATCCGAATTACCTCAACTGTGAGTACTTAAAAGTAAATATCAGGATCCTGAGGAATTAATATAGTTTAATAATGTTTATTATTACTGGTAATGTTAAACAGGGAGAAAGAGGGCTAAACAAAGAAAAGGTAATGGGTCTTTTACAGCATAAAGGTAGTCTGTAAATAATTTAATTTATCTAGATTTCTAATAGGTGGGGTTTTTTTAAATGCAAAATGTTTTATTTGTTGAAATAAAAAAATGCATCTAGTGGAGAAAAAAATAAGTTCAAGTCTGTAATTAAAAAGTAATGTCAAGTTAACAGTATTCCTTTATCTGCAAACAGAATTTTGCTAATGTTAATAATAGTTTCAGGTACTATACTGAATTCTCTTGAATTCCCTGCCAATTTTGATGCTACAGTCAAAATTTCCTGTTTCAAAAAGCTGTTTTCTTCCTTGCTGTTGTATGAAAGATACATACTGTAAGGGAGATGAGACTAGTTTACTGTGCCTAGTATGGTAACATAAAACATACTTTTTCCCTGTGTTTTTTTTTTTTCATTTTGAACTACCAAAAATTTGATTGTAATGATAAAGTTTTGGCTAAAGTGCCTCATTGTATGGTTTTGTGAATACATATTCTTCAAGTTTGGCAGATTTTTTTTCACGCATCCTTAACTGACAATTCCTTGTCATTTTCTTTCAGTTCTTGCACAAAGAGGCTACTTCAAAGATAAAGCTTTTGTAAATTACCTTAAATACTTACTTTATTGGAAAGAACCTGAATATGCAAAATACCTGAAGTAAGTGTTACAATCACTTAGGTTTCTGCATTTTAATGATGTTATGTTTACCTTCTGTACTGTACAGCAGCATGTTGGTATTTGATTTCTGCCTGTAACCTTACCTTTGTCCTCCCCACTGTGTTTATATGCAACATAAATTTTCCTGTTTCCAACAGTCCAGATGTTGGAAAGAATAGGCAAAATTATAAAACTTGTCTTTTCATGAGTCATGCTTGAATAGACAAAATTATAAAACTTGTCTTTTCATGAGTCATGCATGGAATCTTCCTTTTATAACCTGTATCTGCACTTCACCAATTATTTAAAATAAAACTATTGAACATTATGGTACAAAACTAGTTCAGTTAGGCCCAGTAAGTACATTTTAAGAGTGATTTTGCATTGTTGATGCTTACACGAAACAAAGAGTGATTTTACGTTTTTGAGTGTGGAAATTTGGGAGAATAGTTCTTGGTTATATTCTTTAAATGAGCTCTGGAAACAGATAGTGTAGTTGTTACGTATTTGTTTTAGTAAAATCTAGCCATTAGAAAAGCTACTCTTAAGCATGCATATCCACGTATAAACTGTTACAGGACTCCTTGTTTCCTAGCCTAATACTGATGTTATTAAGTTACAGTGTGTGGAATATGTACAGTCTTAAATAGTTTGATACTTGAGTAAAGCACATACACGATAAAACTAAAATCATGAACTGCAAAATTATCAGAGACTCCAGTTTTAGTGTACCTTGTAAAAACTTGTATTAAAGTATGTTTGTTTTTAATTCAGGTATCCTCAATGTTTGCATATGTTAGAGCTGCTCCAGTATGAACATTTCCGCAAAGAACTGGTAAATGCTCAGTGTGCTAAATTTATTGATGAACAACAAATTCTTCACTGGCAGCACTATTCACGGAAAAGAATGCGCCTCCAGCAAGCACTTGCAGAGCAGCAGCAACAAAACAACACCTCTGTAAAATGAAAAACATTTGGAAGACTGATGATAAGGTGTACTTTCTGTCAGCTGAAGTATTTACAAGAGGAACGAACCCTTTTGTACATTGGGCTCTGTGTGTGCGTACATTTAATTTTTGATTTATCAAGTGACTTTTTTTTTTCTTTCATCAACTTTTTTAAAGATAGAATAAATGACTTCTGCCATTTATTTTTTAGCATGGACAATTTTGTAAGAGCATTACTTACTGTAGTTATTGATTCCTCTTGATTTTGAAAACAAAGCATAGATTTGAGGGCACTGGTATTTCTGTATCTAACACAAAGTGTAGCTCAGAAGCCTGTTCATTGGAGGCATTTTTCCTGGAGAATAGTATGTCTCAAAGTGTGGTTAAGAACTCCCACAGGTACTACTATTTACAACTGCAGGATGAACAAAGTTGAAGTGATTATATTGTACAGAATCTAAATTGTGGATTTTTGCCGTGAAACTGAGCTGAGCTATTACTTGTCATTTCTGTTTACCTGGTAATTATTGCTGAGGGCCTCAGAGAGTTTTCCTTACAGCATGATTTAAAGATAGAAATCAAAGTGTGACAAGACAAAGACTGCAGAATTGGAGCAGAGATAAGTAATAATAAACTTTGCAGGTACTAAACAGAAGGAAATAGGCTGTAGCTGTATCTATTCCATTAAAGTCAGCTTTAATCTTGGTTTTCTGCCAGTAAACTAATAGTTGCTGCTCTTAGGCTTCTCTACAGTATGTGTAGTGAAAAGTTTGTGTTACAAAAAAAGGTGTAAACGCATGCAGTATTGGAGAAGCATTTGCCATTTATTCCTGTATAGTTTTTATTGTAAGAACACAGATCTTGGCAGCTGCCAGGGATTTAATTTTCGTATTTTAGATTGTATTTGTGCTGCATTCATGTTATATTTCATACCCTTCTAGGAGCAGGTCCTGCAACCATTAACCCTTAACACGTGATCAGTGACACCAGGACTGTCAGCCTTTGGCTTATCATACTTAAAGACTGAACAGATAAGCCATTAAACATCTCTGGCGCTGAAATTTATCTTAACAGCTTTAGTAGCTATGTAAAGACAGATTTAGGAAGAATAAGCAGGTTTTTCTGTTTCTTCTACCCTCCTGTCCCCCTTATTCACTATTAAAGGTATAACTTCATAGCTAAGTCTTACTCTTCAGTAATTGTAAGCTGCTCTCTCAGTTTATGAGCTCAGCTCCTTTGAAAAGACACTGTTTGCAAACTCAATTTTATTTGAACACAAAAGGAAAGATTATACAGTTTTTTTGTTGCAGGATTTTAGTGGAAGGTTTGGACCTAGAATTTAATGACATTTATCTTGACTAGTCTGAAGTAATTAACCATGTAAATTTAAAAAAAAAGTTAAGGATTCCTTGAAAGGACACTGCAAATAACTTGAGATTAACATCTTCGTAAATTATTGACTACTGGATGATTTAGTCTTCAGTAAACAACATGCGCACAAGCTCTGCTTTAAAACATTCTTCTTCAACCAGCTTCTGAGGCTGAAAGAAAAGTTAAGATGTTTTAGGGGCAATTCAAAAACCTATTCTAGACCAGAGCCATTTGTACATACTAGCATTAGCTGTACTCCAGCAATTGTTTTTCTGGGCCTGGTGGGGTGAAACAAGGAAGGTAAGAGTAACTGAAAAATGCCTGAGGGTTTTCTAGGCTTGGAATACGCATTTCTAAGAAAGTAACTGCTAATTTAAATAATACGCACAAGCTAAAACTTGAGCTGTAGTCTGTTTGAATCGAGAGTATGCTGCACATAACCTTGTTTCACTCCCGTAATTCAGTGTTTGGATTTTTTAAAATTTGAGGAGCTGCACGTCAGGAAGCTAACAATATGTTGCTAAGAATTTTCTCAACCCCTCAACCACTACATGCTAAGTGTACGTATTTTCTTTACTACATGTTTATTATAGACAACATTATACAGAAAGCAAGAGTTGCTTTCTTGAGGAACTGTTTGAGACAGGAAGGGTGCATGGGTGGAGCAGAAGAGCTGTTCCCAATTGTCTGCTCTTTTTAAACAAGAGGGTATCAGAAAACATGCATAACTAATTCATTTACAGACATAAGCTCCTGCCAGTTTCCCATCTAAATGCTTGTAAATCCAGAACATACAATAAATCACTTACTGTTCCGTATTTAAGTAGTGTAGGTACTCCTGTTAGTTTCAGATTCTTCCTGAATTCATTGTTGGGATCTTTCCAGCTGTTCAGGAAGAATGGGTTAAGCACAGCTTGTGGAGGTGCAGTTTGAAGTCAGCCTGTTAAAATTCCTTCAAAGGGATGATTCAAAGGTCTTTGCCTCGCACCTCCCCAATCCACTTCTCAGAACAATCATGCAACCCGCTTCTAAGAACCACCATGCAGATAGTTCATATTAGAGATAGTGCAGACCTCAAAACTCAAAAAAAAATTGCTTCATTCCTTGCAGAAAAGGACAGATCAGTCAGTTGTTCCAACAGGTTAGTTAACCTCCAGTCCACAAACAGCAAAGTTATATCAGTTGTTGGCATTAAAACAGTTACTTACTAGGCTCTGTCTCCTACCAGGCAGTAGATGAATACAGACTCATCAGGCATGTTATGAAGTTCCTTCCTCACGACCGGTTCAGCTAGAAAGTAATTTTTAAAATCTATTAGTAGTTAATACTTTTACTGTGCTGCAGAATCACATGGATCTACTTTGACCAGCAACGCTGCTAATTAATGTTTTGTCTGCTTCAGGTAGAGATTTGTATTTTGTTTCAACTGGTTATCCACGAGCTTTGCAGAATTTACATGCTCAGTGTTGAGGGGACTGGTCTTTGAGTAAAGGCCAGTTTCTGCTTTAAGAAGTAAGAAAAAGTCATTGTCCCCTGTCTGTACGAAAGCCCATCAGAACAGTGGTAAGCAATTGCCATTATGTACGCTGGCACAGGTGATACAGAAAGTTCTGTGCAATGTTTTCTGAGGAACTGCCTTCATCTTCTACTGCCAGACACTGACTGGTAGGTCACTTGTGCCTCCTGACATTGAAAACAAAAATGAATTAACTGATCATAAGATTTACATCTAATTGTTTGCTGGGCCTTTGTACCAGCCTCTGCTGAACAACTTATTACTTTATATGTGACTCAGGGGAATGGGGCTAGCAAAACTGAGAGCAGTGCAGATGGCTTGTTAGCGAGACAGCAGCTTCAGCCAGCTCCTAGTCACAGCCTAGACTGCCAGTGAGATTCTGGAGCTTGGTAACCGCAGCTACAACTTGAAACCTGAACCTCGCCCAAGTCCACTCACGATCCTGGGTAATGGCGGCTGGGTGCGGAGGTTGGATGTTGCGAGGCCGCTCCACACCAGGAGCTGCTAGTGGCCCACCTTGGGTGTTCCAGGGAGGGCACCCGGGGCCTCTCCGGCTTCCTCAGGCAAACGGGAGAGACAGCGCGCGCCTGCGGGCAGGGGCAGCCCTCTGCGCAGCCGGGCCGAGAGGCAGGCAGCACGGTCCCTGTGCC